TTCCTTCCTTCCTTCCTTCCGTCTGTTACGTCCTCCCCCGTGGAGTCTCTTCAGAAAGCGTGAGGAGGGTGGAAGCCAAGAGAGTTGGAAATGGATCCTCCATGGGAAGGAGCAGGCTACCGTAGCAGTTACGCTAAAGAAGACAAGGCTCTGGTCTTCATGCTTCATGGAGGATATCTGTTGGAAAGGACTTGAAGAGGTCCTGGGGCCGTTACAGGAGTCATTCTATTGTTCTTAAGCATTTATTTCTTAGCAAAGACTGGTTTCTTCAAGGCTCCATAGAACACGATCTGGTCCTTTCTCTTTCTAACCCCCAGCATTGCAGGCTGCGCTAGACCGTCCTCATTTTTAATTTCCACTGGCGTTTCTTGCTTCTTCCTGGGGCTAATACCGTTCATCTAGGCAGCCCCCTTCCTGAGGAATCTTCCATAGCAGAGTTCTTCCCGCTGTATTACCGTTTGAGTTTAGACTTCTTGCTGAGTGGTGAAGTAGGAGCAGATGGATTATTTGCAGGAGATCTGCAAAATTTTACACTCCCAACGTTTTGAAGAATGACAGAAACCCCCTTCCCCCCCAAAACAGATGCTAGTGGTACAATTACTTAAACTTGCCAAAAGGAACGCTGAAAGCCCATTTTTTCTAAGTCCTCTAATATTTTCATAATAATTTGGATACCTAATTGAGGATTAAGATTTTTCCTGTCCAGGAGCATTCTGCCTGTGACAGCCCGCATTCAGCCATGCACAATGCCTTTTCTAAATTAAGTTTCACCTTCTTAGTCCTTATCCCCCCTATTCATTCACTGATTCTGAGCCTAAGGAACTTCCCAGAAATCAGATGAAAAGAAAAAAAATAGAGCTGTATGTTATTGCTGCACAGAAACACATTTCACATTCTCAGATTATTTTTCCCAGTGATTTGGCATACATATTGAAGTGCAGGAGACAAATAGAATATATTAAAACATATTTATTTACTGTTTTTCTGTTGCTTTTTTCTTTTATGTTTATAGATTACAACTGAATTTTTATGAGACACCCTAAATTGTTAAGGGAATAGGTGGTGTATACATTTGCTAAATAAATCGGAATGCTCTTGTAAGAAGTAGGCAAACTACTGAATGTATGGTTTTAGGAAGAACTAGAAGTATCGTAAATACTGGCCCTAAAAGTCTATTCCATCTAGGCAATTCAAAAGACTATCATGGCCAGTTTTGTCAAATACTAAAAAAAATCCAGTAGAACCAATAAACTATGTTTTTCTTTAGGCTGACCAAACTAATTTGCCTCCCCATCCCCACCCCCCGCAACACCAGACATGTTCAGTCTGTTGGTAAATGGCAAGATCACAAGGCTTATAAGATATACTTCAGTGAAATGTCTTTCTAGGACCAGCAGTCTTCTGATTCTGGACCTTTGATTTAATGCAGCTCTCCACCCTGCTTTTCCCTTTCTCAGCTTTTCAATTCAGCTTGTCTTTGGAATTAGCAGCATTCTCCCAAAATTATGAATAGATTTGGAATTATTCTGGTGTGTCAACTTTTCTTTGCCAACATGACTCTTTTTACACAGTTTATAGGCTGGTGACCTACATCTTCATTTATGAGGATGTGATCTCCTTGGTATGCAGTGCTGTTATCATCTGGTACTTTGCTGGCAGCTTTGAGAAGATGATGGGGACTGTGAAGCATTCCTTCCTCACTCTGACATTTGCGGTTGCCTTAGCTCTACTCTACCTTGTACTCAGGACTGTGGCATCTGGCCTGTTGAAGATCACAGATGCTGAAGGATTCACTCCTGTGGCTTTTGCCATGCTGGCTGCATCAATAGCTCGCTCTCGGATGAGGAGAACAGTGCTCTTTGGGGTGAACTTCCGCATGGCGCTTGTGCCCTGGCTCCTGCTTTGTGTGGCCTGGATTCTCCCAAGTTCTTCTTTCCTAGCAAATTTCTGTGGCCTCTTAATTGGGAATATATGTATCTTTTTATAATAAATTGGATAAGCTAGCCCTTTAAGTTATCAAGTTGCATTTTCACGTCTAAAGAATACTTATAACAAGTTTTAGGATAGATTAGCATCTGTATTATAAGCAGCACAAATACATTTGAGATTTATTTTCTTTAATGATTTATTTTATTATCCCATCAACAGCCTTTTCCATTTTGAGGTTTTCCAGATATGTAAAGACTGTTTTAAATATTGCTTGAATAGACTAAGTAGATTGCCCCCAACCCCCACCCAAAATTGCAAAAATAGTAAGTCCCACTAAGATTAACTGGGAGGTCCTCCACTTTTCATTCTTGAGTCCTTTCTTGTTAGTGCATTTCAAAAATATACGTAGGGAAGCAAGGAAAATATAATATTGGTGTTCTTTGCTCATTAAACTCTCAGAGCAATCTTGGAAAATTTTTCAAAGCAATCTTGGAAAAATGCACTCAGAAGACCAGGCATAAAAACACCTTTTCAAATCATTTTTCTCAGTGTCCTTAACTCAAAGCTAAATTTAGATGGTTATGGTTACTGCTTTGGTTTGGATTTCCCTGAATCAACAGCCTCCTTTTTAGATCAGAAGTTCCCTTTCCGGCTGCTGAAGAGAATTCCAGGGGTGGAGTATGTCCCAGGATCCCTGGCAGAAAGAAGGGCTTTCCAGAACCGAAAGTAAGTCTGCAAGTCATCATAATGCTTGCTATTTACTTATCTACTGATAGCAGTATTTTTCAAAGTTTCAGTATCTTCACAGAATTTAAAATCTGATGACTTGGTTAATTGATGGATTAAAAAAAGGCATAATTCTATTTTTAATCCTACTTTTAGCCCAGTATTCTTTTTCATATGAGCTTGTAAATAAGAGGTAGCCTCAAACTTTTAAACTTAAAAGACGTAATACTTGAGAGAAAGGTGCATTCTGTTAAATGGGTTACGGTTAAACATTGGCAATTTGTTTTAATCTTACCACATAGTTTAATATATATTTCCCTCTTTGGTATGAAGTAAAGTTTTGTACCTCTCTGTTATGTGTCTAAGAATTACTAAGAAATACGTTCTGCTAAAGGTATGGGTCCATGTACAGTACATAAAATTGCAGAAGAGTGGGGAAAAATGGTTAATGATCATTAAGGAAAAGTATCATGGCTGGTAGCTCTGATCTTAGTTTTTCTATGGCTAAACTAGGTAATGGAAATATTGCCTTACGGAAATTTAGGCTAGAAATGTTATTGACCAAAGATGATTTGTGATCATCTTTAACCAATAACATATGGGACTAGAAAAATAGAGCTCAACCATATAATATATCATTATATAATATAATAAAAATAGCCAGTTTGGCCTAGTGGTTAAGGCACCAGGCTAGAAAGCAGGAGACTGTTGAGTTCTAGTCCCACCTTTGGCAAGAAAGCCAGCTGGGTGACTTTGGGCCAGTCACTCTCTCTCAACCCAACTCACCTCACAGGGTTGTTGTTGTGGGGAAAATA